AATCAGGCAAGAAAAAGAAATAAAGGGTATTCAAATTGGAAAGGAGGAAATCAAATTGTCTCTATTTGCAGATGACATGATTGTATATCTGGAAGACCCCATCATCTCAGCCCAAAATCTCCTGAAACTGATAAACAACTTCAGCAAAGTCTCAGGATACAAAATCAACGTGCAAAAATCACAAGCATTCCTGTACACCAGTAATAGACTTCAAGAGAGCCAAATCAAGAACGAACTGCCATTCACAATTGCTACAAAGAGAATAAAGTACCTAGGAATACAACTAACAAGGAACGTAAAGGACCTCTTCAAGGAGAACTACAAGCCATTGCTCAATGAAATAAGAGAGGATACAAACAGATGGAGAAACATTCCATGTTCATGGTTAGGAAGAATCAACATTGTGAAAATGGCCATACTGCCCAAAGTAATTTACAGATTCAACGCTATTCCCATCAAGCTACCAATGACCTTCTTCACAGAACTGGAAAAAAACACCTTAAACTTCATATGGAACCAAAAGAGAGCCCGCATAGCCAAGTCAACTCTAAGCAAAAAGAACAAAGCAGGAGGCATCACACTACCGGACTTCAAACTATACTACAAGGCTACAGTAATCAAAACAGCATGGTACTGGTACCAAAACAGAGATATAGACCAATGGAACAGAACAGAGGCCTCACAGGAAATACAACATACCCACAACCATCTGATCTTCGACAAACCTGACAAAAACAAGCAATGGGGAAAAGACTCCCTGTTTAATACATGGTGTTGGGAAAACTGGCTAGCCATGTGCAGAAAGCAGAAACAGGACCCCTTCCTGACACCTTACACCAAAATTAACTCCAGATGGATTAAAGACTTAAACATCAGACCTAACACCATAAAAACCTTAGAGGAAAATCTAGGCAAAACCATTCAGGACATAGGTGTAGGCAAGGACTTCATGACCAAAACGCCAAAAGCAATGGCAACAAAAGCCAAAATAGACAAATGGGACCTAATCAAACTCCACAGCTTCTGCACGGCAAAAGAAACAGTCAGTAGAGTGAATCGGCAACCAACAGAATGGGAAAAAATTTTTGCAGCCTACCCATCTGACAAGGGGCTGATATCCAGAATTTACAAAGAACTAAAGCAGATCTACAAGAAAAAAACAAACAAGCCCATTCAAAAATGGGCAAAGGACATGAACAGATACTTTACAAAAGAAGACATACAGGAGGCCAACAAACATATGAAAAAATGCTCATCATCACTGGTCATCAGAGAAATGCAAATCAAAACCACATTGAGATACCATCTCACACCAGTTAGAATGGTGATCATTAAAAAATCGGGAAACAACAGATGCTGGAGAGGATGTGGAGAAATAGGAACACTTTTACACTGTTGGTGGGAATGTAAATTAGTTCAACCATTGTGGAAGACAGTGTGGCGATTCCTCAAGGACCTAAAAATAGAAATCCCATTTGACCCAGCAATCCCATTACTGGGTATATATCCAAAGGATTCTAAATCATTCTACTACAAGGACACGTGCACACGAATGTTCATTGCAGCACTGTTTACAATAGCAAAGACCTGGAACCAACCCAAATGCCCAACGATGATAGACTGGATAGGGAAAATGTGGTACATATACACCATGGAATATTACGCAGCCATCAAAAACGATGAGTTCACGTCCTTTGTAGGGACATGGATGAACCTGGAAACCATCATTCTCAGCAAACTGACACAAGAGCAGAAAATCAAACACCGTATATTCTCACTCATAGGCGGGTGCTGAACAATGAGAACACATGGACACAGGGAGGGGAGCACTACACACTGGGGTCTGTTGGGGGGAAATGGGGGAGGGGCGGGGGGTGGGGAGGTGGGAAGAGATAGCATGGGGAGAAATGACAGATACAGGTGAGGGGATGGAAGGCAGCAAACCACACTGCCATGTGTGTACCTATGCAACAATCTTGCATGTTCATCACATGTACCCCGAAACCTAAAATGCAATGCAATAAAATAAAATAAAATAAAATAAAATAAAATAAAATAAAATACAAAAATTACCTGGGTATGGTAGTGCATGCCTGTAATCCCAGCTACTCAGGAGGCTGAGGCAGGAGAATCGCTTGAACAAGGGAGTCAGAGGTTGCAGTGAGCTGAGATCCAGCTACTGCACTCCAGCCTGGCAACAGAGCAAGACTCTGTCTCAAAAAAAAAAAAAAAAAAAAAAGTAACCAGAGGGTCAATTTTCTTTTTGCAGTTAAGGTTTTTGTTGTTGTTGTTCGTTTGTTTTGAGACAGAGTCTCACTCTGCTGCCAGGCTGCAGTGCAATGGTGCAATCTCGGCTTACTACGACTTCTGCCTCCCGGGTTCAGGCAATTCTCCTGCCTCAGCCTCCCAAGTAGCTGGGACTACAGGCACACGCCACCACGCCCAGCTAAATTTTTTGTAATTTTAGTAGAGACAGGGTTTCACCGTGTTGGCCAGGATGGTCTCGATCTCCTGACCTTGTGATCCACCCACCTCGGCCTCCCGAAGTGCTGGGATTACAGGCTTGAGCCATAGCTTGAAGCCTGGCAGCTGACGTGGAGAAAGAGAGAGGAAAGCTGCATACAAAGGGGCCTCTGCTGTCTCTGTCCCTGGTCAGTTGCAGGGGTAGGGTCAGCCACCCACAGCTGGCAGCCCGAATCCCTGCCTGTCACAGTAAATAAGGTGTCACTTCAACAAAACTGTGCCCACCTGTTCGTCATCTTCGGCTGTTTTTAATGACAAGGTTGAAAAGTTAGAAGGGAAGCAAGTGGCCTGAAACCCTAAAATATTTACTCTCTGGTCCTTTACAGAAAAAAGAAGTTCACTAACTCCTTCTCTAGCGTCGAAATGCTTCCTGGTGATGAAATCTCAGCTGTCCACTGCCATGTTGTTTACAGACTGGTATGAGGTCCTTTGCAATTTTTCTACAGCTAGGTGCATTAGAACCTCCCTCCTTAGAAGGATGTCGTTATAAGCTCCATCCCATCTGGCTTCTTCATAGGCCCAAGTTGCCATGAGAGTGGGCCCAAGAGACTCCAAGGTTTATCAGCCAGGCTGACCTAAGTCTTATTATTGATAATTCTGAGGTAAAAGGCATAACTGTAAGTGCCATTTCATTATAAATTATTTTTTCTTCTTTTTTTTTTTTGAGACAGAGTCTTGCTCTGTCACCCAGGCTGGAGTGCAGTGGCACAATCTCAGCTGACTGTTACCTCTGCCTCCCGGGTTCAAGCAATTCTTCTGCCTCAGCCTCCTGAGTAGCTGGGACTACAGGTGTGCGCCACCATGCCCAGCGAATTTTTGTATTTTTTTAAGTAGAGATGAGGTTTCATCATATTGGCTAGGCTGGTCTCAAACTCCTGATCTCCTGATCTACCCGCCTCGGCCTCTCAAAGTGCTGGGATTACAGGTGTGAGACACCGCGCCCAGCCCATGGCCAGATATTTTTAAGCAAATCTCCATTTTACTCCAGATACTTCTAAACATGTTCTTCTATGAGATTGTCACTTTATTCCAATCTTTTGCATTCTACCATCAGTTTTAAGCCAAAATACTTCAGGCAGGCTAGAAGATGGGGAAATATTTACGTTCCAAATAAGTGGCATGCAATCCTATTGTAGAAGAGAACCCATGGGGTGCAGGAACTCACGTATGTCCCGCTTGGGAAGAGCATCTCTGGTCAGGGAATCCTGCAGGTCCAATGACTGGGGCTTCAAATAATCCCATAGAGCTGGGCCAGGAAGTGGAACAATAATCTGGAGTGAGAAATTGACACGTTTGTAATATAATCCAATTGACATAATTCAAGAAGGAAATCGGCAAACCATTAAGTTTGCAGAGGTATATTATGGAAGGAAGAGAGGGAATCCTGAAAAACAGGGGATTTCTTAAGGCTGATTTGGGAAGGCATGACTCAGATCATTTTCTTAGGAACTGTCTTCCCAACAACACAATTTAGTTCCTTCAGGTTTTTACTTCCCGGTGTTCTTCAAAAATGTATATCAATCAGGAATTTAAATGAAGACCAGCCCTTATTTGAAGCTGCTGATCTTTGCCTAGAATAGGCCAAGGAAAATACACCTCATCGCGTTAAGGAATTAGAATGCCGTTCCAGCAGATAGTATTGTAGCAAGCCTGACATGAGTTCATCTGGGTGCAGAGGATCTGATCTGAGGCTGTGTTTCCAGAATTGCCACTGCACATTTCACAGGGCCTCAGTGACTGTCAGCCAAGCCTTGGTTTTTGCTTTTTGCCTATGGCAAACCCACTCAGGAACGGTGCTAAACACAAGGACCAGAGATGTGGAACAGGGTAAAAGCAGTGGGGCTGGCAACAGCTGCTTCCCGGCAATCCGGCTGCCTGGCCTCCGACAAGCTACCACCTGAGCCTCATTTGTAAACTGATGATAATAGGGCCTCCCTCCAGGGGTGGCTGAGAGAGAAGGGAGCTGCAAGGGCTTGTCAGAATCAAGGATCTGTCAGCTTAGCTGCTCCTGGGAAGGAGGCTGAGACTCACTTTGTCAGCTTTCATTCACTGAAAGAGTCTTGCTTGAGGGGTTTAGACAAGCAGGAGCTGGAATTAGAGTGGGTGGGACTGAGAAAGAGAGAAAAAAGAAAAGAAGCAACGATTGACTCTCAAAATCTCTAAAATCACCCACCCTACAAGTACAGAAAGCTTGTTTTGAGAAGACAGGGCTTGGTCGGGAGCCAGGTGGGTTACCTTCTCTCTTGGAGGCAGCTCTGGAAACAGGCCCCATAGGCTTCTGGCAGTTCCAGCCCTGAGAATCTCACACTCTGCAGGTCTCCTCCTGCCTGAGACTCAAACTCACTCCAATTCTTTTGCTGCCTCAAGCCCCTGATCTCTGTACCCCCCGGACTTCCGTGCCCCATCCCACCCATGGGAACCACCAAGCTCCAAGTACTTACTGAGCCACCACCTTCTTCCAGAGACTCGCCACCCCTGTGGGGGACACTGGGTAGCAGTGGAGAGCAGCTGGCTGGGGTCATTGGGAATACTGGAGTCGGGGCTTAGATAGAGACTGAGTGGGGAGGGCAGCTGTTCTGGGGAGGTGGGAGGAGATGCAGGTAAGTGAAGGGGACCAGGGAACAGCCCCGGAGGAAGGGGCTGGCCAGAGGCAGGCAGCAGGAGAGGAGACCCCTGCAGGCAGTGTGGACAGTGGGGCAGAAGTGTGGGGGCTGGAGGGCGCATACCGCTTGGGAGCCCGGTGTGAGCTCAGCGCGGGGCTCCAGCCAGGGTCCCTCCTGCAGAGAAACCAGCCTCAGTGTGGTCCAAAGAGCCCCAGGAGCCCAAGAAAGCAACAGCCACAGCAGGCAGAGGGAGGCTCAGGGAGGGGAAAGAAAAGATCAGAACTGAGGGGCGTCCTGGAAGCTCCCTGCCGTTCAGCAGCAACCGCAGCAGGAAAGTGGTTGTAGGGCTCGTTTATAAACGTCTTGGCCTGCTGGGGTGGGAGAGTGGAGAGGAGCGGCCCATAGCCTCCAGCGTGTTGTCAACAAAACTATGCCCACCTGTTCGTCATCTTCGGCTGTTTTCAATGACGAGGTTGAAAAGTTAGAAGGGAAGCAAGTGGCCTGAAAGCCTAAAATATTTACTCCCTGAGAAAAGAAACACACTAATGAGATTTCTGAGCCTTTTACAGCTTCTGAATAATTTATGCAACCACGACTTTCCTTTTCTGTTGTTTCTTAGGATTCCCGAGGTACAAGGACTCAGCTTTGCCATGGTCCCTTCCAAGTGGCATCCTGTCTCTGCTTACATATCTCTCATGATGGGTCGCTCACTACCTCTCAGTCTGTCCCTTGTATTACTCTTAGCTTCCATCATCAGAATGTGCTTTAGATAACAGCAAGATGACTCCAGAGATTCCCCCACATCAGACGGTTGTCTAGTGTAGGCATTGAAACTCTGGATTCTGAATTAGACCTCCTGGGTTGGAACCCCCAGCTCCATCATGTATGGGCTATGTACAAGTGAGCAGCGTGCCAGACCACTCTGTGCCTCAGTTTACTCACCTGCCAAATGGAGGATCATATACTGTACTTACCCTTTAGGGATGCTGAGTGATGCAACACTCATGTCGGGCAAGGGTTTGATGCCATTCTTTTCTAAATTGTGATGACTTGGGACATTCAGCAGTGCAGTCTTTTCTGGATTCTCCACCAAGTACATACATGTCTGTGAACCCAGCCTGGGCATCAACCCTTTGGACTTATACCAGGCAGCCATGTCTCAAAGGCACAGCCATGGCACCAGGAGGAAAGGGCCAGGGAAAGATCAGGACACTGGCACTATTCTGCCCCTCCATTGTGGTCAGTTCTTGTGCAGAAAGCTCAGGTCCTCAATCCAAACCTCGTCTTCTGATTCACTGAGGCTAATCTAGAGACTTTGGCCGTGGCCTGGTTGTGTAGCTCATCACCCTCTTCTCCTCCTGCAGGAACCTCTGTGGCTGCCAATGATGAAGAGGTGTCTCCTAAATTCACTCATCTGCTTTCAAACCTTGGCACCTGGTAAAGGAGCAGTGTCCCAGGTGGAATTCCCCAGGACCCTGGAACCAGGACCCTGGTGCCTCTCGCTGGAGATGGCCCTGAGGACATCTGGAGGCACCCCTAGTCCCCCAGCCCACAGACTCAGTTCCTTGGCAGTGCCCTGCCTGTCTTTCTTGGGGAGTTACACAGGTACCCCACTAGAAGCAGCTAGACAGTAGGTGAGGAACGGCGGGATGGAAAGGATATTATTGGGCGGGGTAAAAGTACATCACAGATGGAAAACATCCAAGTGACCTGGTGGGACAGCACCCACAAGTGGGTGCCCTGCCGGGGGCACCCACTGTGTACTCTCAGGGAGTGAAGCTTCCATTGATTCGCACTTGCCAATCCATGCACCATCTGATCCTCACAGCTTCAGGGTAGCCACGATCACCCCACTTCACAGAAGAGTGAGCTAGGCTCAGAGAGGTTGAGAAAACCAGTGTGACAAACCACCGCAGATCGCTCCAAAAGGAGGGGTTTCCTAGCACACCAGACTTTCAACTAAGACAGGGCTGGGCAAACCGGGACAGTTGGTCGTGCAGCTATTATGTGACAAATTTGGGATGCAAGACACAGCCCTGCCTAACATCCTGGTCTGAGCTGCTTCCACTCTAACCAGCTCTTCAAAGGAGAGAAAATTTAGAAGGATCTGACCCCCAGCGGTGCTGGAATCCCAAGTGCTCTCTTCCTGCAGGAGGGGAGGCTGAGTTCCGTCAGCAAATGAGACGGGAAGGGCCAGAAGCCAGCAGGGGCCAGAATGAAAGGATTGTCTTCTTAGCCATGCTCTGTTGGAAAGAACGCAGTTTTCAAAACATTTTTGAACTTTTTTGCGCGGTGGACTTTGGACATTCCAAGTAAATTTATTTGCAAAACTGGACCAAATTATATCACTTGGTTTGGGGTGCTCTCCTTTCATACAAAAACTACCCAAAAAGGACATTGCTGTTTCTTCTGTCCTTATTTTTCAGATGCTTTAGGAAAACTGAAACTGTACCTGTTGGCTGAAAGCCAAAACATCGGTTTATAGCATCTGGGCTTTGGAACCAGGATTCTTTTCCTGCTACCTTGGATGTGGCTCTGTTTTTAATTACGAGGCCAGCAAAAGACAGCGCTCACTCCTGACAATGTCACTAGGGTTGGTCTTCATAGGGACAGGGTCACAGTGGCCACTAGTCATTCCAACCCTGGTTTCAGACAGTCTCACGTTTAGGGTCACCTTCTACTGTTTGGTCTACTCGGGAATCCTGGTGAATCAGATTCAATAAATAAACTAAATAAACCTCCAATGAGGCTTAAGTAAAGCTGCAACACTTCTTACAGGTGGAAGCATTGTGACTGTTAAGATTTCATAAGCAGTCACGATGTTGCCTGCACGTGCAGGGGCGTGAAACTTTAAGAAAGCTCCAGAGGCTGGGTGTAGTGGCTCACACCTGTAATCCCAGCACTTTGGGAGGCTGAGGCAGGCAGATCACCTGAGGTCGGGAGTTCGAGACCAGCCTGACCAACGTGGAGAACCCTCGTCTCTACTAAAAATACAAAATTAGCTAGGTGTGGTGGCACATACCTGTAATCGCAGCTACTTTGAAGGCTGAGGCAGGAAAATCACTTGAACCTGGGAGGCGGGGTGGGGGTTGCGGTGAGCTGAGATTGCACCACTGCACTCCAGCCTGGGCAACAAGAGTGAAACTCCATCTTAAAAAAAAAAAAAAAAAAAGGAAAGTGAAAGTGAGCGAGAGAGAGAAAGCTGCAGAGAGGCTGCTCCTTCCCTTGCCTTTGCCCCCTGGCCCACCCCCTGCTCTCATCTCCTCCTCCCCAAGTCTTGCTGGGTGTAAATCAGACCATGTGAAGCCACTCGAGGTCATTAGAATGTTAAGTGGAGAAGCATGTCCTGGTGAACCTCAAGTGGCCTGAGCTCACTGTCCTCAGGAACGCTCTCCTGAGTCACCAAAACCTTTGCAAAGGTGAACTCTGCCACCCCCAGAGGTTTCACTCCGGAGTTATGCCTGGTCTAGGACACAGGGCTGGAACGTGGCTTCCCACGCTTATTGGCTCAGACTGTGGAAAGGAGACCTTGGTTCCTGTTACTGATGTCAGTCCCTTCAGAGAGGCATGTGGGCCGTGAGCATCCCAGTTCTGCCCCTCTGCTCCCCTCCCAGGCTTGCCTAGCATGCCCCCGTCCCGTCTCTTCTGCTCCCCTCTAACGCTCTGTCTGAGCAGGGACTCACTGCCCCTCCTCCCTTCCTCCTGCCCTGAGCTCCCGGATTCCAACAGCATGCCCTCCTGGCTGTTGGGACATCAGTATCTCTGCATCCTGTCATGGTTTTTTTTCACACAGGAAGCCTTAGAACACTACCACTGTCTTCTAAAAGTAGCCATATTTTCACGAAGAGAGGTCCCTCCCAGTGATCAGACATGGTGCAGGGTACACTTGGGGGCTGAGGACAATCCCCGAGGGGATGAGAATAAAGTGGGCTCTGGATGCATATCCCTTTCTAGCCCCCCCTTCCCTGCTTGTTCCTTTTCCCTAATTAATGGCTCCACCCATCACCCAGCCAATCAAGGTGCCTGAAAGTCGTCCTCCACACTTCTAGGATGGCCAGGGGGTGTCTCTTGATCACAGATGAGAGCGTGCCCCGTCTGCTGCCCCAGCCATTGGATGCCTCCCTCCCATCTTCAGAATGATGCCCCCATCTTGGCCTGGCACTCCCTCCCATCAGACTCTTCTTGGGGCTCAGCCTCCCAGCTCCACCCCACCCTGGGCCCCATTCATCCCAGCTAGCAGCTTCTGCTGCTCAAGTGCCCCTCTGCTCCTTGGGTGGTTCAGGAACTCCCCAGTCATCCAGAGGAGGCCTGAGCAGTGAAGGAAACCCTTGACACCCGCCTACTAGAAACACACTTTGATGCAATTTTTCTGTAGCATCATTTGGTGAGACAATTAAAATCTTTAAAGTGGCTAAGAAATTCCACTTGTAGACATTTTGCCAGGAAAACATGAATGGGTGGAAAAATTCAGCTGCAAAGATGTGTTTGTAGCAATTTGAAACACCCCAGTGCCGCTTAATGCAACCTTAGTGCATTCATACAGCGGAATCCTATTATATGTAAATGTTTGGTGCTGCAAAGAAAAAATCAGTACTGGGACAAAGGACCTCTCAGCAAAGCAATTCCGTTTACTTCCTGCAGAAAGAGTACCTTGTTAGCAATCTCACCACAAGAGTACAATGAACAAAGGAAAGCAGACATATTTATCACTTACGCATTTGGGGTCATCCTTACTGCTGCGTCTGATCTCTGTTGGCTAGAGTCAGACCTCACCATCTAAACTAAAACCCAATTGGCTAACAACTTAAAACTTTTCTTCACAGGTAAAAGCAATGGAGAACAAAAAGAAAATCCAAATAAGGAAGGGGAATAGGCTGCGAGCTGGGACATGCCTGTGAGCACGTCCAGCACAGACATCTTGGTTAAAGTACAAGGACATAGAATGTACTACGTGCCTGTAAGCACATAGGATAGGGCTTAACAAAGAGCTACTAGCAGAAAGCAGGAAGGCTTTGAAGAAAGTGTTTAAAAGAGACTATTATTTCTAACACTTAAGATTTTTCTTAAGAGAGGAAACTTTGAAGAGGCGCTTTTCTACTTTCCATAAATCCTAGGTGTTAACAACACTGAGGCACATGTACATTTTGTATTTGGAACTGTCACCTCTTCCCTGGACTTCCTCAAAGCCTCCTAATGGGCCTCCAGACATCCCTCTTTGCTCCTCTCCAAATCATTTGCACCTGGTATTGGGTGAAAAATAGCCTGATTCATGCCATTGGGCAGTTTAAGGCCCCGTAAGGCATTTCCATTGTAATTAGATGAGCATGTGAATTCCCTCCCCAAGCTGTGCACCATCAATGATGTGTGCTCTGTAACCAGGCATTTGTCTACCTGGAGGTCACACAGGAGGACACCTGCTCTGGCCACACCCACCTTCTATCAGTGCCCTGGGGTGAGCCCTGCCCCATCTCTGGACTTTGGATATGTTTCCTGCACCAATCTGCTTTCCCTTCTTGGCACTAGGGGTAACTTCTCTGCATCCTTCATTTCTCAGAGAGGCTTCCCTTAACCCTTCTGTTCAAATGGGGTTGCTGCTATTATTCCTCACTGGAACTTGTTCTTTCTGTTTTCCCTTTTCCATGTATTACACCCAGTAAAACCCTCAGGACAGCATTCTGGTGGGCTTTGTTTACAAGGGCACATCCAGCACTGAAGAGTTTGTATGCCTCACACAGAGGAGGTGCTCAATAAACACGTAAGGATGCCCATGCTACGCTGTAATTTACAAAGCAAACTACAAAACGGTATGATGGTATATATAGCATAACATATCTGATGCAATCTAATACAATAGTGCATGGATTAATATGAAAAACTCCAGAAGACAGCTGGGTGAGGTGGCTCACGCCTGTAATCCTAGCACTTTGGGAGGCCGAAGAGGGTGGATTGTGGGTGGAGTTCAAGACCAGCCTGGGCAACACGGTGAAACCCTGTCTCTACTAAAACACAAAAAATTAGCTGGGCATGGTGGTGTGTACCTGGAGTTGCAGCTATTCAGGAGGCTGAGTCAGGAGAATTGCTTGAACCCAGGAGGCAGAGGCTGTCATGAGCCGAGATTGCCCCACTGCACTCCAGCCTGGGTGACAGAATAGGACTCTGTCTAAAAAAAAAAAAAAAAAAAATCCAGAAGACCCTGCCACAAACTCTTGTCAGTGGTTAAGTATACATGGTGGGATTATAGATGGTTTCAAATGTTCACCTTCTCTGTATTATATTTCCCAGATTTTAAATACATTTTATTTTTATTTTATTTACTTATTTGTAGAGACAAGAGGTCTTGCAATATTGCCCAAGCCAGGCTCAAACTCCTGGCCTCAGGCAATTCTCCCACCTTGGCTCTCAAAGTGTTAGGATTAGAAGTATGAGCCAGGGTACCCAAACTGAATCAATTTTTAATAAACGTTAACAATAGCAATATTCCACAATCAAAAATAAAAATTCTGCTTAATTCTGATTGTGGAAAGACTCTGCCCACAAATCCCCAGCCTCTGTGAAGTGTTTCCTCCAAGCTCCATCTGAGGTGTGCCTGAGGCATTCTTCTCTCTCCCATAACCCCGGGACTGCCTCCGTCGTAAGATGAGTCACCACCACCCTTTCATAATGCTTCCTTTCCCTGCACCCCCCTGCCTATGGGAGCACCCAAAAATGTCTTCTTTATAGCCCTCACTCATTAAACATTGTGACTAATTAATTTCAGCTAATCCATTTTACATGCATTTTTTTGGCCTGCTCTCTGTCTTCTCCTGGCCGTAATTTCAATAAGGGTAGGGATCATCTACCTAATTGCTAACATAGTCTTTATAATTCATAGTCAATATTCGAGCAACAGTTGCTAATCAAACAAATGAATGAATGAATGAATGAATGAATGAATTCTAAACAGGACTGTCTCTGAAAATTGAAATCCCTGCCCTTGATTATGTCTGCCATCAGATGTGTGTCCCCAAAATGCAGAATGCTCACTCAAGAGCAGAGGCATATTGTCACTCACTGGAGTTCCATAGACATCACCTGACCACAGAGACTTTCTAAGTATCTTCCCTGAGAAGTCTCCGCTGCAAAGTTCGGATTCAGATACCTGCAAGCTGCGGAAATCTGAATGTTCTCACAGCACTGACCTTTCTCAACATGAACATGAAAACGAATAATCAAACTCCTGCATTTTTTTCATG